GGGGTAAAGTGACATTATGAGACCTACTCTAAGGTGGTAACTGATCACAGAATATTCACAGGGACATTATAGGAAGCAAAGAAACAGGTTTGAAGACTTGGGTGACAGAGGAAGGAATAGCGGAAAGAATGCAAGCGAGAATACAAGTCCAGTGACTTACAGTGCCTGATTACATGTGGCAGGTGAGAGAGAGGGCCGAGTTAATGGCATCACCAGGTTTCCTATCCGTCACTTCTGTTTGCTTATTTTCTGGAATATCTCTTACAGTGCATTGCGTGTATTTTGTTTGCCTCTAAGTTATTGAGTTTTACCAACCTTACCGTAGAGATGGAGACCATACTGTTTTCATTTACTGGAGAAAAAAAGAAAGGAAGAAATTTGCTTGATCAAGAGCAGATTGTGAATGTAAAAGATAAGATTAACGTCAGGAATAACATATGTCATGATTTAGCAATGCCGTGGTGAAGTAAATGCAGGAACTGGAATATGTGGGTGTAGGTTTGTATTTCAGCTTTCCCTTGCTCACACTTCAAACCTTGAGCACTTGCTGCTCCCAAGCTTGCAGTTGCTCACCTATTCATACACCAGAATGTTTCCAATTAGTATCCGACATGCGCAGCTGGACCAAGCCCTCGAGATTGTCTGGTCCAACGCCTTATATTAGTAATGAAGGGACTTTGTCTCAAATTACCTAAATGATTTCCACAATGTTTCCTCCTTCCCAATGGACAAACTTTTCAAAACAATCTACCTTTCCATTCACTATTTGTTCTCATTCTCCAGACTAATTCTGTCATATACCCCATCCCCTCAATCTCCAGTTGCTTTGTCCCTTCTTTTCTTTGTCAACTTGTATCTATCAGAGACAATGTTCTTTCTAACAACTCTGGGTCTAGGTCATCCTCCCAGCTTACCCTTATAGTCCCTTCAAAACTTCTTGTCATTTCTGAAACACAGACTATCTTTTTACCATCCATGATATTCCCATGAGTCTCTTTGTTATAAAATACCTGTCATCCCAGACTGTCAGACCCAGTAAAGTTATTGCCAGTCGTTTGAGAACCTATCTTGATTCCCTAAAGAGTTCATCAGTTCCTGTTCTGTGCTCTGCAACAATGTATTCATAATATGAAGAGGAACTGATGAACTCTTTTGGCTTCCCTCTTGACCTATATATTTTGCCTATTAGATCATTTCTCCTTAAGGATGGAGATTATATTTTGTTTACTATAGTGTCAGCACTTACCATAATGACTTGCAAATGATAAGAATGTAGTAAATGTACCTAGGTTTCTAAGCCCTTAATTCAGCTGGGCTTTAGGTGTCTCTTATCACCTAGCTATGTCCTGAGTAGAGAGTGTACATGGGTCATTGTAATGATTGCCCTAACAGTTTGAATTAATAGTCTCTGCTGAAATACAAGGCTTCCAGTAAGGGCATTACTATATAAATATCCAACAAAATAAATGGTATCTTAAGAGTCAAATCCATTTGGATATGGGTGGTGGGTAAAGGGAAGTGAAAGTTGATTGGAGCATGTTTGGATATGTGGAAATTTCACACTGAATCTATCCATATACACAATTAGTGCATACTAATCAAAGTTAAAATAATTATAAAAATCAAGCCCATAGAACAAATATGCATGAGTATATTCATCAGTATATACAATATATGTAGTACTTAATCACTAAAATACGTACAACACTATAAATTCTATCATTAATGTCTCTTCACTGAAAATTGGGAAGGCAAAAGATTAGACATCTCAAGACAGGCAAGCCTTGTTTTGTGTCATTTTCCAGACTTTGCTCTTGCTCTTACAGGAGATAATTACAGGAGACAGAAATCTTGTTATTTAACTCCTGCTTATGGCCCTCTTCCTTAACAGCCTGCTGCTGTAGCTGTGATGGTATCTGCCCTTATCAGTACGTGTGTTTCCTCTGACGCCTTCTCTGCTACACAGGAGACTACGCTTTCAATCAGGACAGGAAATCCTCAACTCCTGTGATTTGTTCCATTTGGATATTCATGCCTGCTTGGTTCACTTTCCACACGCAGTGCAGAAAACAGGATTTTCCAAGTCACACAATCTTCTAGGCATTGCTTCTCAAGGCAATATAATGCTCCACTCAATGTCCCCACAAGTAGGTCTCAGGTACTGTTAATAGTTTAGAATTCAATGACAAATAGAAAATTTTTCCATCTTCATAGTCATATCAAAGTTCATACTGGGTAGATAGTCATGATGTTAGTGAATTCACTTCCAAATCTTTTTGTTTTGAGGTCATTTTAGGTATATTTTTGAGTTAGATGTAATGTCTCCATCTTGTATCCGGCCAACATCACATCACAAGATGACAGTTAGATTTCTGCCTCCTTTCACAACTCCTACATCTTACTAAATTTTGCATTGCACTACTCTTCAGACTACGCTGATAAAGATAATGATCCTACGTAAAAAGTATTTTCTTTGATATGGCAAAAATGTAATTTACCTTCAGATCTACATGTAATAAACAGAAAATCACTTGTCAGCACTTTTAATTTATTTACTTCTTACATAGATACTGTTTATGATTAGCCTTTTATGTAGATAATGTTGTTACAATCATACCCTTAAGCCCTCCACTCCAATTTGAAGAAAAAAAATTTTATAAGGGTTATAGCTGTGGGCGGGGGATTTAGTTCAGTGGCTCACGCACTTGCCTGGTAAGCATGAGGTTGTGAGTTCGATCTCAGATACCAAAATAAATAAAAAGTTTCCAAGGATTACAGCTGTAAGTATGGTTATAAATCATCCTGAGAAAGTAGAGATGAGAGTATATGCTGTATTCTTATAATTTGATACACAAGTTAGTATTCATATGTTGAGGTCAACATTAGATCACAAAAAATGTAAATTGTGATGGTAGAAGCATAACTATTCTTTTAAGCTTTGAAATTGCGTGCAGAAAGTGGAAAGGTTGCCAGTGTATAATTATAACTACGGAAATATAATAGTGTGGCTGTATAGTCGAGAGGTTTAATCAGTGTGGTTGAAACATAACCAGTGCTTCGGTTCATGATTTTGTCAGGTGCACACATTTCCATGGCAAAAGGCCAAGTGCGCTCAACGCATTTCAAAGATGACAAGGAGGCCTGATGGCTGCTAATGAGCAATTGATTAGCAGTAAACAGAGGTATTAAGATTCTACTTAACACTGCATTCAGAACAGGAAGGCCACTTCCCTCTGCTATCTATGACTCCACTGGGCAGCCAAGCTTGCCACTGAAGTAAGGAGTAAAAAGGAAAACTTAATTATGGGATGTCATTTGAAGAGAATGAAACCAACATTCCAAAAATAAACGTAATTTTTTTTTTTTAAAGAAAACAAATAACCTTCAGTGTCTGGCAACTCATTTAAACTGTGACCTCGTATTTAGCCTAAGAACTACCAAAATGATGGTGAGGAAGGGGCAGGATTTAAAAAAATGTATTACAATATATTATTATGTCAAAGGCTAATATGCAAAAGTGTGCTCAAATTCGATTTTAAAATCTACTAATTTGTTCTCAACAACTATAATTTGAGATCCCGTGGGATGACATATGGAGATACACAGGAAATCCGAGAAGACTATTGTTGGTTTGGTTCCTTGATCTACCAGAGCTATTTGACTGAGTCTTCCCCTGTCTGAAGCTACAACATGATGACAGCAGTGTCATTCATCATGGAAGGAAACTCACAGTTTACAGAACACAATAAAGACATAAAAATGTACAAAAGGGAATGGAGCAGGGCATGTCGCTCAGATTTTCTTTATCTTTGTTAAATCTTTATCGTAAAATAGGAGAAAGTTAGGAAATCATTTTGGCACTGAGTCTGTGGCCTTGGTTATAGTAGGAAGACTCTTGTCTTTCACTGATTGCCTGAGGCTGCTGAAGTGCTACCAGCACACAGTGTATTACAGGGGTGTAGAGGTTACCCTGAGTTTCGCTATATATCCTTGTTTGTCTCTGTTAAACAAATGTCTGTTGAGAGATACTATGGTAGTTTCAGGTACAACGGTGACAATACTTACTATTTCAATGAATAATATTTTTAAATTTTTTTCTGCATTTATTGACTTATGACTTCTAGAAATAACGCTTTTCTTTTTTGGATATACATGTACATGCTGCTATTTTAATTTTAAAAAATAATAGCTAAACATAAGAGATTCTAATTCCACCAATAGCTAACTATCACGTAAAGGGAAAGTTCATCTTACCAATCTAGTGTCAAATATGTCTTATATTTTCCTTTTAAGCATCCTTTTTTGAGTCATAGTTCCTCTCTTTTAAATCAGTAACTTTTAAATATTAGTGAGGTCTAATCCTTTCCCCTTTGAGAATATCTTAAAAGCTGTGCAATATATTGTTAAATGTGCACACCTTCATTACATGGATTTTTGAGAATTGATAATGCTGAAAACACTAAATTAGATGCTATAAATAAGAATGCATAAATTTCTGAAGGGGCTACCTATGAAATTATAACTCAGTCTAGAAATTAAAGAGGTGACATTTTAAGAATTATCAATATGAATGAAAAGCACTGATAAATTTACAATCTGTCACACAGACATGCTTTAGTTTGCCCCTGGGATCAGTCTTCTGGTAAATTTAGCCTATTAGGCCTTTCCTAAGCATGACCATATGTGAAAGTTATCCTCGACACACATACATGCATTACAGCTTTGTTAGGGCTGCTTCTGTGATTGAAATGGACAAGCTATAATCCTAACACATCTTTTCAAGTGTAACTGAATTCTTTTGCTTTCTATGCTTCTGGGCCCCAGAGTAGATCAGAAGACTGGCTGTCTTCATTTTGCCTTTGGAATTTTTCCAGAGCTGAGCAGGTGATACCATAAACATATCCTGGCCTTGCCATTTGGAGTGGAGCAAGTGGCTGTACATGGTGGCTCCTTCTGGATGTAAATTGATTTTAATGATTTCTTTCTTTCTCCTGAGACAGGATTTATGTGGGCATCATTCATGTGACACCCTGGGAATGGCAGACGTTGGGACCATATGTTCTCCGGAGCGCAGCTGTGCGGTGATTGAGGATGATGGTCTCCACGCAGCTTTCACTGTGGCTCACGAAATTGGTATGCAGGACCTTTTTTCTTCCCTCGCCAAATCAAACACTTGCAACAGCTGCAACGGGAACCAAAATACTTGGCAATTAATTCCAGATTTCTTCTGGTTCAGATGTACCCATTGGGGATTAACTATGTTTATATTTGCACTTTTAGGGTTAACTAATACAGGAAAAGGAAGACAAAGTCAGCAAGACAGTAGATGTTTCCTTCTGACAGTCTCAATTAAAAAAAAATATTTTAAAAAAATTCACTACTGCTGCTGACTTCTTCCTGTCTTTTGAAGCATCCCTAAATGACTCCTGGACGAGATTTGTCACAGTCCTCTATGGAATGCAGAGTTGTCCCTTTGAGAAGTTATTCAAGACAGCATTGACTCAGCCAGGGCTAATCAGTTTGCACAGAAATTTAACATGTTTTGGTCTATGGTGAACAAGAATAGTAGGCTCCTGACAAAAGTAATCAGCAACTTATGATAAATATTCCTATCTCCTTCTCAATAGCAAGGCAAATGAAACCAAGCTGACACTCAATATGATTTGCTTTTAAAATGTCTTTTATCCAATTTGTCTGTTAGAAGAAACATATCTAAATCCTACAAGTATAAATTTAGAGCCCAATTAACTGCTAAGATACATCCCTCAACAGGGAGTGTGTGCTTCCTATTCCTTAACCTGGGCTATTAGGTATATGGGAAATTGTCTTTGTACTTGGCAATAGATGTTAGAATTAGGCATATCTGTGTTCAATTCTTGCAAAAATACTTTCTTCCTGTATCGCATCAGCCTAATTAGTTAAGCTCTCTCAACTTGTGTGTTCCTATTGGAAATATAGGAATAAAACTGCCTATTTAGATAGAATCATTTTAGGGAGCCAGTTGGGTAGTGCCAAAGTAGTATGTATTTTATTTATGGACACATACACTTCTGTTTCTGGTTTCTTTTTATTTATATAAATATTTCATTTACTTTCTTATCTTGTGCATCAACTCTTCATATCATCTTTCAAGGAGCAAACCATGGTTGGATCATTATTTCTGGTTTCTAAATATTTTTCTGTTTTTATAAAACAGATTTCATTTTTAAAACTAAAATCTTAACTTGCAAATGGAAATTAAAACTTGTATTTTATGTTCCTAGTAGGCAGAGAATATTTTCACAAGATGTCAATTTTTATAGTTGTTAAATTTCTTTGAAGAATCAAAGCAACTTGTAGTTAAAAATATAATCTTGTGAATCTGAATACTGCAACTATTAAGTAGAATACAATAGCAAAATTTGCGCTCAAGTATTAATCATGACATTAATGTTCATGACTTCTCTTTGTATCATCTAAACAATAATCACAAACATAAAAATCTTAATTCAAATAACCATCAAACTGTGTCACTTATGATATGCATTCTAGCATTTTAATGAGCACCAGTGATCTGAGATAAAGCCCCAGCCTGGTCTCTGAGATGGCAGTTATCTCAGCAAGTGATTTGAGCACTTTGGGACTCTGCTTCTTCCTTCCATGGTAGAAGATTAAGGCAGCATGGAGTTCCTGTGTTGATATGCTGAGGGCCTTTTAAGAACACACGCTTTTTGAGCTGCAGAGTAGGGATTATGTCTTCACATGTCTCTCATTCATGTCTGTGAAACTAACTGATACACATACAGCCAAATATAGAACTTTAATCAATTTTTACCACATAGCTCTACATATCTATATATACACATGAATGAATAAGTGAAAGAAATTAGAAAACATTCTGATTTTCAGTGGCAGAAAAGAGAAATTAGCCCAAATACTCAAGAGGATTGTAATTAAACAGGAGATTTAAGAAGTACACCAGTAATTAATCACCACTCTGCAGCCTGAGCAAAGTTTCATTAAAAATGTTCTAAATCCCTGGGTGAACAGAAGGCTGCTAGTATCAGCATGGGAGGGGTAATGATGGGGAATATGCTAGCAACTGAGCTCAAGTTTGATGTTACCCATTCACCGAATCATTAACTGTACAATCCTAGTACAGCCCATGAAAGTGCCTTAACGAAGGGCTACTTCCTTCCCTCTCTCACCTATAGTAGCTGTTTTTACACACTGACAGCATCAGGTTTTCACTGTGAGGAAAACCCTATAAATAGAGTTTCTTTGGGGACACTTTGACTAGCAAGCCTTGTAGGCTGGAAAGAAGAGGCATGACCGTCTCCTTTCCCAGCCTTCCCGAGTCCTCAGTCAGAGCCTGGGATTACACATGCAGGTAAAATAATCAGAAAACTTGGAATTAGGCACTAACAAAAGCAAATGTTATATTAAAACTAAAACTATATTCATACATACAATAAGAGTTTACCTTAATAGTACAACATTAATGAACATGGTTATACAAGAGAACAGTGTTGGAGAGATGTGGGCTTCTATATGCAAAATCAAACCTACATCTTTGCTACAGGATTACATCCTTGCATCTCGTGTTAACTTCCCTGTTGGATCATTTGTTTAACTTCTTTAGAATTCTCTGTAATTGCTTCCTCTTTTTATATTACAAATGGCTTAATCTGAGATATTTAATTTCTAGATGTAGGAGAATATGATTTTAATTTTCTTTTTCACAAAGAAGTCTTTCATGCAGTTTTTTTTCTAATTATTTCATTTTTTTTCCCTAAATATTAGAAACATATGTTATGAAGTATAAGCTTTAAACTTTTTAGAAAAGATAACCTCACAAAAGATTTCTAAATCCTCTGTGTATTACTAGAGTTTCATTCCTGAAGACCTGAGGTTCTTAACGAATGCAACGCACTAGCCTGTTTCCATTGCTTTAATTTATTTTGGGGTTATTGCATGAAACCATCAGCCTTGCCTCACCTTGCCTAAGCTAACCATTCTTATTGTAGTCTTCCTTTCACACAGTTTCTTTCTTTTGTATGGCTTAGATATTTGCCACTTTCCAGATTTAGAATAGATATATACACATATGTATACTTACATGTATATATACATGTTTATATATGTATATATAATACATGGTGCTTAAAATAATATTGTAAAACTTGTTTTCTTTTAACCTTTCCCCAAAATGTGCAGTTTCATCATGCAAACAGATACTGTAAATGTGTTATTACACTCAAATCACAAGCTGGGAAAAAGTTTCCAGGCTGTTTCCTTAATTTTCTTACATTATTCTTTTCCTGTAGGTAGTAAAAAGATATATTTGATTAAGAATAACACGTTCACTACCCATCAGAGTGTACGGAGTGTAAAGTAAATCTGAATTCCTTATCCTCTCTACTTAAAAACTCCTTACATAGAAGTTTGCAACTTAATTAAGCAGGGACAGAAGTCCATTCTTGCATCGTTTCTATCCTGAATGCTAAATTGCTTCTATTAGAAGGTCATTGGTTAATAAATGAACAATTCAGAAAAGTTGCCCCTTTTTTGTGTGTACCACATTTTAACTGAGACTCTTCCCTTTTCTTGGTAATTCTTTAAAATAATTACAGTACCAACTAGGTTTGGAGATGCATGATCAGCTGATGCCAATACACTCTTCTAGAAGGTTGATGTTGATTAGTATAGATTGCATAGGGATCAATAAGTTGCATTCCTCTATCCTGTCTTATGTGCATAGGAACATTGACTAAAGTGTTAGGAAATCTGAGAAATTTATTTCAGACCATCATAAACAGACTCCATCTATGTGCCTTGGGTGGAGACAGGAATGTGTTAATAGCCATTTTACAACCTAAATGTGAACTGCAGAAATTTTAAGTTGATGTAAGTTTACATTCTGAGTTTATGTTTTTAACTTGTCAAACTTTTATAATAGACTTGCAATAATAAAGATTTCACCTGCTGCACACACGGTGGTAGAAACAATATTTTTTTTTTATGGCAAACCAGTTTCTAATACACAAGGGGAGCAATTTGATTTTATTTGGATTAATGAAGTCTATAATTTGCTAACATGCCAAAAGTCTACTTTATAGTAGTCATTTATAAAATGTGCTGGGTGAATATCTCCACTATGAAAGAGTCCAATTCGACTGCTAAGCTAATCTCAGGTAGTTTTAAAAAGTCAAGAAAATTTAGGAAGTGGTGGCAACACAACAGGAGGGCCGCTTGTGTTTTGCTGTGGCTCAAGGGTGTTCTCTGGTTGTACTGATCTGCCTGTGACTGTGGTCCCATAGATGATTAGATTAAACGAAGCCATGTTTTGAAAAGCTGCAAAGCCTCTCAGAAACCATAAACCAACGCCAAGCGCACAGGATCAGATGTCTGAACTGCCCTTAAGATGTGTGGTGAGAAGGAAGCTAAGATTAAACTTGTTCTTTATTCCTGAATTCATCATTTCACTCAGCATGAACTGAGCATTCTTTCCTATGCAGTTGGAAACTGTATCACACTGTGACTTTCTTAGACCCCAGATGAAAGGTAGAGATACATCTTTGCTACTTGTCTAGTGGTACCAAGTGATTTAGTGTGCATTGCAAGATTTTTAAAACTCAAACCCAAATTTCTGTTTCCCCAGGGGAGGCTTACTGAATTTCTGCCGTATGTGTGGAAACTAACAAGTTGAAAGTGACATAAAAAGTAAAATTGAACAGTGTGATTTTTTTCTCTTATTATTAGGAAAATTTCCTTTCCCTCCCAATTCAAGATGTTCAGTAAAATTAAAATTTATTGAAACCACTGAAGATCAGAGTATACTATTAAAAGTATAACAAACCTAGGAGATCAGTGAGGACAATAAATTTAGTTGGCCCTTTGATATATGTATGCCAAGCATATGTTCTGAGTATTTTGCACATTTTATATCATTTAATCCTCACAATTTTCCATGAGGTAAGTACTATTTATCCTCAACCCAGAGAAGGAAACAGGCACACAGAGAAGTTTCTAGACTTGTCTAAATCATCAGTATTCTTATATTTAGATTCACATAATCTGGCACCAGAGTCCAAGACTTTATTGCTATCCTGTGGTGTTTATTTAGCCAGTGTTCCATTTGAAAGGTATAATCC